ATGTCACTGAACTGCTGAAATCTCATGATAGAACTTCAATGGATGAGGAGTTAGTTACTTCTTATGGATGAGCAAATAAAGTGATTTCTTGAGATGGAATCTTCTTCTGGTGAAGATGCTGTGAAGATTACTTCTGGTGAAGATGTGAAGATGACAAAGGATTTAGAATATTACATAAACTTAATTGATGAAGTTGTACAGACTTTGATAAGATTAACTCCAATTTTGAGAGAAGTTTTATTTACTGTGGGTAAAATGCTATCAAACAGTATCACATGAAATCTTTCATGAAAGGAAGTGTCACTTGATGCAGCAACTTCATTGTTATCTTATTTTAAGAAATTTCCAGGGTACCCCAACTTTAGCAACCACCACCCTGATAAGTCAGCAGCCATCAACACTAAGGTGAAACCCTCCACCAGCAAAAAGATTATCACTCAATGAAGGCTCAGATGATGGTTAGTATTTTTTAGCAATAAAGTGTTGTTTTTTAAATTAAGGCATGTACATTGTTTTATTAGATACTAGAGGCCTGGTGCATGAATTCGTGCACAGGTGGGGTCCCTCGGCCTTGCTGGCAATTGGGGCCAGCCAGCTGGGGTAAGGGACTGCTGGAGGTTGGCTGTGGGAGCGCACTGACCACCAAGGGGCAGCTCCTGCAGTGAGCGTCTGCCCCTTGGTGGTCAGTGTGCGTCATAGCTACCGGCCAGTCATCAGGTCATCCTGTCTTAACAGCCGCTTAGGCTTTTATATATATAGAAAATACTGTTGAATACTTAATAAACAAAACTTTTATGTGCACTGGGAAACCAGAAAATTCCTGTGACTCAATGTATTGTGATACTCACTTTATCGCTTCATCTTGGAACCCAACTGCAGTATCTCCAAGGTATGCCTGTACTTGCTGTGGTGCCACCTGCTGTGGTCTGCATGCTCTTTGCTCTCCTGCCTCAGGTCTTCACACATGCTGTTTTATTTGCTTGTTTTTTTGTTCTGCTTTTTTTACAGGAAAAACTCCTACTTATAGTTTAAGATTCACCACCTCTGATACATTTTCTTTAATTTCCTCAAGCTGAGGGACTTTCATCTATTTTAACTCCCATATAAATTTGTTTCCCCTTCTGATCTATAAGCTCTTTATCTTTGCATTTCTAATATCTAGTGAACTGTCTGATGTGCAGTGGGAGCCAAACAATATTTGTTGAATGAATAGTTGAATTAATTAATTGATCGCTTAGAGCCCTCCTTTTTTTTTAAAAAAAAATTGATAATCCCTAAATATATTTTGTTCTGTTGCCAGAGTTAAAACTCATATGTTAATTTTCTATCCACTTGCACAGACTTGTGAGTTCTTCTTCTTTCTTTTTTAATCCCATCTGTGTATTTCTTCATCAGCTAGAAGCCTTTAATGTCCCCTTCACTTAGAAATCTCATGTGAGATTTTACTTTCTGGAGAAAAGTTATTAAATAAGTATAAATACTGAGGAGCTGAATTCTTTATACTTCTCCACCCAAAGAAATCCCTAAGTAACCCTATCATTTAGTTCCCATTTTGGCCCGGTTTAAGATTTTAGCATACTTAGACATATGAAGCTTTGAACCATGGTATTACCAGTTAAAATTAATAAAACAAACATCACCACAACCTTTTATTTAGAAGGCTGGCATTTATTAATTCCCCTTTTGTTTATGTGCCTACTTATTACATTAAATTTATTCTTTGGGATGTGCCTTAGGAGAAATGATCTTGCCTTCTGTATTTTCCTTACCTTCAACTCTATAACCTGCCTTTCTTTCCCCCACCAGCTGCCATAGTACATCATTTTTGTTATGTTCATTAAAACTGTCCTTATCGCAGTTTACTGTTTTGGATATCAGTGCTCATTAAAGATCCTATAATTGCCTTGGGCAGAGATAATTAAGCTTAGGATCAAAAGCCAAAAATATATTTGGTTTTTAAATTCCAAAGTCCCTGCAGCATTAAAGTCACCATAATTTACTGTTAGATATACATAGCCACCATCAGAGTAAAAGAAATAATATTTTTAACTTTTGCTTTCTTTGTAATAATATATGTTCACAGACTTTCTTCTTTCAGAAACTACCTAAATGTTGACCATGGTATTCTAGATAAAGAAGTATATGTTATGTGTATGTCACGTTAGAGGGAATTATGTAATACATTTTGATTATACTGTAATATGCAGAGACTTTTCTTCAGCTCTTTCTGAATATTTATACTTTTTATTGTTATTCTTCTGAGGAGTTGTGTGTCCTTTCAAAACTGTAATTTACTTGTCCTTTCAAAACATTAAATATTTGTCTAAGTTTTACTGAGCTAAATGTAGGTGGTGATATAAAAATGTGGAGAATATGAAAATCACTAAGACCATCACAGGACAAAGACAGTATTCCTTAATAAATTTAAGGAATAAAATAATTCTGTACTCTATGTCTACTTTTTTCCAAGTATATTTGTTTTCTTTCTTTCTTTTTTTTTTAATTCTCACCTGAGGATATTTTTCCATTGATTTTTAGAGAGAGGGGAAGACAGAGAGAAATATCCATGTGAGAGAATCACACTGATTGGTTGCCTCCTGCACGCACCCTGACTAGGGCCCAGGCTGGGGAGGAGTCTGCAACTGAGGGACATACCCTTGACTGGAATTGAACTCGGGACCCTTTGGTCCACAGGCCGTTGCTCTATTTACTGAACCAAACTGGCAAGGCCTACATTTGTTTTCTGATATGCTACTTACTCCGTCTTCTGTTGGCAAAATATCATTTTCCCCATTTTTATAGGTGGAAAAGCAGACATTGAAAGAATAGAGGAATTACCCAGCTCATGGTGCTAATGACAGAGATAAAACTAGAACTCAGACCAGAAATATAAGGGGAAATCATAGCGAGCGAAGAAAACCACAAAGTGTCTTTTCTTGGGTAATTAGTATGAACAGTGGGTTGACAGCTACTTCTTACTGTCCTCCCCACATCTTGTAAATCAGTTGATATCTCCCAAAGCCTGCATAAAGTAGCAGACAGCCTTTATTTTCAGAAAAGAAGGAACTAAAAATATAGCAGTACAGCCATTTATTAACTACAGGCAACATTATTCCTTGGTAACAGAGCCTGGTGGAAAAAAACATGTGAGTTGAAAGACTTAGGCTTAGAGCTTAGTTCTTTTACCAGCCTCGGAGTCTTCTTACACTAAATACCTATTTAGTTAAAGTGGTGCTTAATAACTCCAGCCTTACTGCTTTAAAGGTGTTGTGATGATTGATAAGATCTAGAAGCACTTTATAAATTGTCATTATACAAATACGAGTCCTCGTTCTTGTATAGCAAATAAGGGAATTCCTTCCTGTGCAGGAAAGATATAGCATAGTTGTTGGGATCATGGTTTAGCCGTCACACTGACTTCGGTTACGATATAAGAAACGCCACCATCTACCTCTGTCACTGGCTTAGGAACTTAGACTCTCTAAAGCCCCGTTTTCTTGTTTTTAAAATGGGGAAAATATTTATCATGAATTTTTAATGCATAAGCTATAGTTAAGGTCCCTTGAGTTAATTTTCTTTAGAATAAGCTTTCTATTTATATTAATATTTTTAGATTTTTCAGAGAATTTGCAGATTTGGTAAAGGGAGTTCCCAGCTACGCTTCCCCTGGTTCCCTGCCTTGTTAATATCTTTGATTTGCCACAAGGAACAAACTAACACTGACGGATTACTATTAACTTAACTCGGGTTTCTGTGGGCTTCACCAGTGTATCCATGAATAGCTTATTTCTTTTCCAGGATCCAATCCAGGGTTCCACATTGCGTTTGATTGTCATGTCTCCGCAGCCTCCTCTGGTCTGTGAGAGTTTTTTACTTAGTGCCCTTTTTTGGTGTGACCGTAATGGTCTTGAGGAATACTGCCCGGGTCTCATGCAGGATGTTCTCCAATCTGGTTTTCTTTATTGTGTTTCTTATGATTAGACTGGGATTGTGGGCTTTTTAAAGAGAATACTAGAGAGGAGAAGTCCCAATGTGTCAAGGGGTGCATGGTATCCCTGTGGCATCACTAATGAGGTTAACTTTTGTCACTTAATTAAGGTAGTGCTTGTCAGGGATTTGTGCTGTATCTTGAGTTAGTTTTGGCCAGCTATCACTTTTATAGGACTTCTCTCCCCTCTCTTCCCACTGCTTGGGATGCTTTTCATTTATGTTTGCTGCAACTGTCATCATAATGGAAATATTTTCTGTGACCACCAAGCTAAAGCAGCTTTCTCTTCTCAAATCAGTCTCTATGATGCATTACTTTTGTCTCTTCTTGATAGCATGCATCATTTCCTGAAATAGACTTGTGCATTGTTTATCTACTTCATTGTGTGTCTATAGGATCCCTCCCCTCAAAGAAGAACATTAGCTTCAGAACAGGGTCCCTGTAGGATTGCTCATATTCGTATGCTTCGTATCTAGCACAAGGGCCAGCATATGCTAAATGTCCAATAGCTATTTGTTGAATAAATGTCTAAGAAAGAAAGATAGAGGGTTGATTTATTAGTAAGAAAAGAGTCTAAAAGAGCAGAATGGTCGGAGGTTCAACTTAACATCTTGACTGAATTGGTTTAGTTTTCATGAAAAGGTTAAATGCAATCATCACTGTCTACAGAAATAGGTAATCAGTATCCTTATAATTCATGCTCTTATAATACACTTAAGAATGTGAGCGCCAGAGTATTTTTCTGACTTGTAAGAAAATGACTGATCTGCTCGGTTTTACACATCTGCATCACTGTGACCTTTATTTGCTAACGGGCCCAGCTTTCCTACTATAGAATTTTTAACTCTGAAGGAGGGTAAAAATAATTGATGGCCTGGATTTTAACTTATAGATGACTTCTTAGTGTCTATGATCTTTTTCATGTATATTGACAGAAAAGTAGAGCTTCTTTGTATAACTCTTTTTCCCATAGCTCATTATATGGTACCTCTCTTTTAATTTTCATCCTCAGGACTTAAAGTCTCCAAATCAGAGGGATGAAATAGCCGGCGCCCGGGCCTCATTGAAGGAGAACTCCCCCCTCTTGCATTCAATTTGTTCAGCTTGTTTGGAGCATTCTGATGTTGCTTCCCTCAAAGCCAGCAAGGACACAGTTTGCGAAGAAATTCAGAATGCGCTCAACGTAATATCGAATGCTTCACAAGGCATCCAGAATGTGCTGGCACCTCTGGAACCTCAGGCAGCAACCCTGGGAAGTGCCCTTGATGAGCTTGAGGTAAGTCAAGAGAAAGGTGAAGTGTGATTTGATGTCCCAGTGTGAAAATAAACAGAAGCGGGTTTTTAAATCCATGTAGTGGAGTTTAGAGCATGAGTAAATAAAGACCTAGTAATCCAATCAGACTCGACCATCCTCTTGTATGTTCCAATGAATTGATTAGCAGGAAAATATTCCATCAGTAGACCTCTGAGTCCTTTGCATCTCTGCCAAGGAAGCCGTGAATTTAAATTGGGGATTGGTAATTAGATTGCAATGATGATTTTATTTTCTATAAATCTACTTAGGAAATGTAGGATTTATCCATTTCACAAACACTTATTATTACTAGTGTACTTTGTGCTTGGGATGTAATAGATGACAATCCACATTCTAAAAGGGGAAAAAGGCAAACAATAAACATAGATAAGTCAATTGCATAGAATGTTACATTGAGAAAGTGAGATATTATCAAAGGCTTGAAGGAAGTGAGGGAATCAGCAGGTGGAGATCCAGAGCCGAGGCCTGAAGGCATGCCCAGTATTTAGGTGACAGAAGTGGGGGATTGGTGCGGAGAGGGAGGCGATGAGTAGATGCTGAGATCAGAGACCCAGTGGGGTTAGGTCATAAAGGGCAGGAAAGGCTTTTATTGATTGCGGCTTTTACTGATTGCGGCTTTTACATCAGAATAAATGCGATTCATTGTAAGGTTTCAAGCAAAAGAGTGACAGGCTGAGACTACACTGACTGTGTGTCAGAGCAAAGGGGAACAAAGGGAGAAGCTGAAAAGTAGCTTCCAGACAGCTACGTGCTCCAGTCTCCCCCAGGCAGGAGGTTCCAGGCTTGCACTTTACATCACCACTTGATTCCACCTCAAATCTTAGTTTGGACCAGGGTGGTATCTGTAAATGCTGTGAGGAGAGCCAACTAGATTGGACAGAATGAATGTGACCTGTGGGAGGAGGGGCGGAGTTTTAGCTGAGTCTCCGGAAGCACCCGCCAGATGGAGCTTGGGGTACAAGGTGTTATTAGGACGTAATATGTGTAAGGGGAAGAGAAGAAGATCAAGACTAAGCAGAGGAAGAAGTCTACGCCCACAAAGCCTGGACCAGTCAGAGGGAGTTCTGGAGAGAAGGTTGCTCTTAAGTGTCCCTTGTCAGGCAGAAAAGCCAGGCCTTTTGCCTCATTCAGTTACTGGAAGTCGTCAAACACTGAAGGAAGTGATAGCTAAGGGCCCGTCTGCTGTCCTCACTCCCCACAGCTGGGCAAGTCCTGCCTGGCAGGGGAATGGGCAGTGCACCTCTGTGTCTGCCACAGATCATTACAAGGTGTTGTTTTGTTTTGTTTTGGCAACTGGATGGATGAATTTTCATCAGTTATGATGGGAACTGATGATAGGTGAAGCCAGTTTTGAGAAGAAGCTCAGAAACTCAAACTTTATTTTCAACATTCAAGCATGATGTCAAGGATCATTAGCTACCCAAGTGAGACATGTAGCTGCTCAGTGGGGGCAACATTGGGTAGCACTTAGTGATGAAGGCCTGGCTCCTATCTCAGCTGTGGCTCTTACTACCCATGTGACCTCAGGAAAGTTGTTTCCTTGGACTTAGTTTCCTCTCCAATACAGGGGGATAAATCATAGTATTGTTAAAATCAGTGAGAATAATACATGTAAACATGCTTTGAGCAGTGCCTGGGACTTCATTAGTGCCCAGTAAATCTTAGCTCTCATTATCATTAGTGGAGATGACTATTTGGAGGCAGATTCTTCTATAATTAAGAAATCAACCTGATTAAAATTACTTAGTTTTATTGATACACTCAATTAAACACATATAATTCCTATGTTTTTAATTTATTACTTTCATGGTAAACATATTATTTAAATTTAGACTAACCTTTTTGTATGCTTTTCCATTAGTTACATGTTTTTAAACAGGTCACTTCATTTCTAATCCAGCATTATTCAGTTTCTAATTATTGACATCATTGTGAAAATTTATTAAATTCCCAATTAGTAGCATCTATGTGAAAATTTTAGGAACTCTTGTCTAAATAGGGTGGACTGTTTAATCATACCCCATCTTCTTTTTGTTTGCCCTGTGTAATGAGCACTCAGTAAACTTCTCCTTTAGATGCGTACTTTGTCTTCATAATAAGATTGAAAACTCCTCGTGGGCAAGACTGTTTCTTTACTAATTTTATACCAGTGGTACTAGTTGAATGTTAGGTCCCCCATAAATTAAAATGTAACTTTTCTTGATAGCTAGTCATTTAATTATTAGAGTCCCTAGAAGATAAGCATTTTAATTTATTTTTTACAGAAAATAAAACTGAGACTTGCATAAGTTATGTAACTTGCTTAAGTCAGAAGGCTGATGAGTGATCATAGCTGGGATGTGAATCTCATCTCTCTGATTCCAGAAGATAGTTCTATCTTCTGTGCTATATTCAATTTTCATTGATAGAACTTAAGGGGCTTAATTAAAATTCAACACAATTTATGCTAAGATTCTTAGTTTCTTTAAACTATCAGTTAAATTATAAATGTAACCAAGTATAAAAGATAGAATAACTTGTTAGTGAAAAGGAATTTCTTTGTACCTGGGTCATTTAAGTAGAAGTAGTTTATATTTGAGAAGGGGCTAATACAGTGAGGTGAAATTTCCTAAGCTGGACATACAGGTTTGTATATCATTTCTCACAGTGCTACACAGAATTGTGTCAGGGGATGCTTGCATAACTGGTCGAGAGAGAGAGAGAGAGAGAGAGAGAGAGAGAGAGAGAGAGAGATGGGTAGATAGATAGGTAGATAGGGAGATGATAGATAGATAGATAGATAGATAGATAGATAGATAGATAGATAGATAGATAGATAGAGGAGATAGTTGGTTGCAGCGTTAATGGGACTGGGCATAGGAGTGGTGATGGATGGAGTCTTCCTTTTCTCAAGCTATGTGGCTCATTCAGTTCTCAGGACAAGGCAGGAGGGAGTCCCACAGATATTTCCCTGAAATTCTAATACTGTCTCAACAACCTTTGAAATGAATTCAGTTTCAGTCAAAGCTAGGCATGCCCAAGCTAGTGCAAATGCTTGAATTTTGTACATATTTTTATATCCAAGTTACAAATAGCTGCCGAGGCTGTCTGAACTAGGTAAAGCAGAATTTATTGAGCATTTAGCCTTTTAAAATGATTTTGTAAATTAAATGGTTGCTCTTCTCTTTATTTACAGGAAGCAGTATTGGTAAAAGATCCAAAGTAACCTTTGCTCTCTCTTGCTTCTGTAAATATAATACCTTAAAATAAATTGATGTAGTAAATACGCTGTTGGGAGGAAGTGTCATTACATGTTTATGGCGTGGAAATGTATCAGAGTGCTTACTCAACAAATACCACGCCGCATCTCCGTTTGCTCTTTCATACTGGCCCACACCTGGTTGTGGGGATGAAGCCTGAGATTTATTGGTGGAGAAAAATAGAAGTTGAATTAGAATACTTGGCAGGTTAAAGTGATTGATTTATTGGAAAGGCAAATATGAATTACAGGGTGTTCCTTCTGCATTTGTGACTGAGTGAGGGTTGAAAAATGTTAAATTATAGATTAACAGAATTCCCAAAATGTTTTTAAGCAAGAAACTTTGCCAGTGTAATTGCTTTGAAACTCCAAATCTATCAAGATATGCTTTCTCCTGTGGGGGAAAAAGCAGCTGTTGTAATCATGGTCCACAGAGTTATCCAGATCATCTTGTGAAAAAGAAGATAATGACAAAGGAGTTTTGTAGTGTTTTCTCATTTCCAAAGAGCTGTTATATTTATTTTTTATGTTTCTTTTTTATATATTCATTTATGTGTCATCATTCCTATATTTATTTATTTATTTTTAATCTTCACCCCAGGATATTTTTTCATTGATTTTTAGAAAGGGTGGGAGGGGGAGAGACAGAGAGAGAAACATCGATGTGAGAGAGACATAAGGATTGGTTGCCTCCTGCATGCACCTTGACCAGGCCCAGGGCCAGGGAGGAGCCTGCAACCAAGGTATGTGCCCTTAACCAGAAAAAACCTGGGACCCGTCAGTTCGCAGGCCGCTGCTCTATCCACTGAGCCACACCAACTAGGTCCCTATATTACTTTATTTACTATTGTATCTCCAACACCTAGAATAACGCTCTGCACATAGTAAGTGCTCTGTGAATGTTGCTGAGTAAATGAAGGAAGGAAAGAATAGATACAGGAATGCTACACGTCATTTTGTGATATTGGATCAAAGTGCATTTTCCCCTTACCCCTGTTGTTTTCCTCCTTTCTCCAACTGGCAGTGCATACACTTGTGGTAGGTGGCTCTACTTTACCTAACTTTTAACTGGGACATGAACTTATAGTGAGGTAAGCCACCAGAAACCTATCTAAATGATATGCTGCTCAGATTCTTTTTTGTGATAAGGGAACCCAAAGAGAGAACAATTCTCTTCTCTCAGTTGCCATCTAGCCTGAGTTTAGATGCCCTGCAACTGCCAAGATATGCTGCCCCTTGCTAAGAGTAATAATTTGCAGAGTACAGTCCTTACATTTTTATGTTTTCACCTGAAGGAGAAATGGGACCTGTACTAAACAGATTAGCATTTAGGACTGGAGAAGTACAGGCATCACTGATGTCGAGGAGCACTTCAAAGTGCTTTTCAAAAAATGGTTTGGTTTCTAGAAATACAGTAAAATAATATAACTAAAAATAATGGATCAAATATTTTTAAGAATATGGACAATCCAACAGGTGAATTAGGAAAACTTGAGGTCAGCCAGATAAGAAGAGAGCTGAAATCCAGGCTAGCAAGCCAGCGCCAGCATTGTGCTGGGAGGTGTGGGGAATTTCTTTTTCATTGAGGCCTGTGGCTTGGACTTGAAAGACCATGAACTGAGGGCAGAAGACAAGGGCTATATACTGCCATTAGGAAAGCCATATGAGATCCTTTCATAAAGGTGAGAATCCTTAAATTTTTCTTCCTCTTTGGATAAACAAG